AAATTTAGAAATTCTGTCCAAAAAGCCATCTAAGTTGTATCAAAAATAAGACTTACTTTTTATCTTAACTTTTTTTTTCATTTAATTTGCATAACCTATAGAACCTCCTAAATGAATATCAAAAGTTGTTTTTCAGTAAAACTTTATATTTCATCTGGTATTTTCACTACCCAAACACTAACTAAAGATAAATCATCAATGCAAATTGAAAACTAAGAGAGAAAATTATGAAATAAAGTGAATATTACTTTTTTCTTATTCTTCTTTGAAATTGAATTAATAATTTGTTGCCACATCTTCAGTCAATTGATGTTCACAATTCCAACTGTTTACCTTTTTACGTTTATTTTATTCTAATTTTATTATTTTAGACTAGCTTGTACCATGTAACCAGTTAATTCCTTTGTGAACACAATGGGGACACACTAGCAGGTCCTTGTATAGCAACATACTACATGAAATGTGTATATTCATACACTTAGCTAAATAGGCTTAGTTTTTTCTTGTAAGTTTGTTGTTCAAACAAAAGCTCATGTACCTTTTGAATATGCATTTTAGAACACAAAATATATCAGTCACTAAAATAATCCAAAACTAATATAATTTAACTAGCTTTCTGACTAAGCTATAGTTAGGGTAAGAAAAATTCATTACTGCTGTGAGCAACAATTTACACATATCAATCTCTTTCTCTTAACAAATATCTGTTGTTGCTAAATTTAAAAGGACAGTTGCAAGCTTCAAATAATAAAAAAAAAATATTTGTTATTTATAAGCATGTATATCAAATAAGAATATGTGGTTTTGAAAACTGCCTTGAAAGTTAAGGATAAATTGACTGCGCTTGTTTTGCGGGTTGGAAAAATACATTGATATCTTAGCAAATGGAGATGTTAGGATATTAAAACTGTACATTTGATCTTTTCATTACTTATAGTTTGTTTTTATATTAGCTGGACATTGTAGAAGCTATACTAGGAGTTATACAAACTGAAAGGGAGAATTGAGAGCACACACAACATGTGATAACAGAAATGAAGATTGTTTAAAATATGTACTTTTGAAATTAAGAAATTAAAATTTAGATATAAAAACTTGAATTATTAACTTAAATTCTGATTTAAAGTTTATTGCCATATGTTTATAATACAGTTGTTTAAAAATTTAGAATGTAATTTTGTAAATTGTCATGACATATGCACTTATCAAATTGACTGAGGCAGTATGGAGCCTATATGGAAAGATTTAAACTTCTATAAGGTGTCATCCTTCAATACTACTAATGACAGTTCATTCCATCATTATGTTATAATAATAAAATTATTTTAACTTGAACCTATTCTTTCTTTTTCATATTTTAAACTTAGGTCCTCTGTTTTCCTCAGAAGCTATTATCTTACCAATGTTATGAATAATCTTGTAAACTTCAATAAGGTCATCTCTGGCATGCCAGTCTTTGAGAGAAAATGCTTTAAGCAATCTTAAACTATCCCTTTAAGACGACCCTTCCTTCCCTGAATTCATCTGAGTAACCCTCCTCTTAACTCTATTCAATAAGATATTAGATAAGGAGATACAAACTGTGCACAGTATTCCCAGTGAGACCTAACTTAGTGATTTGTATATATATGTAATTATCTCTTTTGGCTTTTAATCAACATGCCTATAAATAAACTCAAAAATTCTATTAGCTTTACTACTAGCAACAAAATAACACTCCTTTGGTGGCTTGAGTGACTTATCCACCACTATGACCACATCATTTTATTTATTCCTGCTATGAAGTGTTTCAATGTTTCTTAAACCTGTGACCCACTTTGAAATTATGAAAACTTAAATGCATTGCCTTACATTTGCTATGAATAAAAGGCCATTTGTCAAGTATGTGTCTCCTATTTTGGAATGTATTTTACCTCATCTTTATCTATAAAAACATTAGTACATTTAAAATTATTTAACACTAATTATGTTCTGTTTGTCAATAATAAAGTCCCCTTCAGGATCTAAACCCTGAGCCAATATATCTTAGTTATCATAGGCATGAAAACTCTTTGGGTTGAATTTACATTTAGAACAAAGAAACTTTCATAACCCCTCTTAAACCTTGACTGCAGTTTTTGACCTTTTTTTTATATCTTGTAAGCTTCAGAATTTTACATTTTACGAGTGAATTAATATTTTTCTTCAGATAGGCATTTTACTTTTACTACTTAGTTTTATTTCTTTATTCATCTATTTTTGAAAAAAATTTCAATTAGAATTTAAATATTTGATAACATTTCATTTTTTTTGGCTTTTTTTATTGAACTAATGAAAAACATTTCCAGCTTTATTAACATTCTTTTCATTCAATTTCTCTCTTCCAGTTTTTGAAAGTCAGTTTTCCTAAAACTGGAGACATGTTTCTTACTAACTCTACAGTAAGTTTGAATCTAAACATCAAAGGTAATAATATTATTATTGCTATTACACAATTTCTAACTATATCCTCATTAATAATAAGAGCATAGTCTAAAATAGTATACATCACATGTTGAGAGAGAGAAAGCAATTTTGGGGAATCTCAAGACTTTTCAGCCTCATGGGATAAATACAGACTAAGGTGTGAAATTTCCTTGAAAAATTCAGTTTTTTAATTAACCTTTTATGTGGCACCTCATCAGAGATTTTCTGTAAGTTAAGTAATACAATATTAACTGAGGTAGTTTATCCAAAAATGCAGACTCTTTTTGAAAAGCATCAATAAGTTTCATTGTATTTAAAAACATTAATATGCAGAAAAGAGAGAATAGTAAATATAATTAGATAATAAAGTTTTCAGTTATTCAGAATAAAATACATATATACAAATGTATGTGGAGAACAAGTTATCTTTTATTTTGTGTCAGTCATAAAAGATGAGTATTTGTTAATGTTGTAGGTTGAACTTGGAGGAACAGAACTATGGGTTCAGGTCCACCATCTTCTAATAATGTGACTGTCCTTTTTGAGCTCAAAGTTACAAGTAAGTAATTTTATCAGTATCTGTTTTATGTTGAAAATAGTATATTATTTAACTCAAGTGTATCTTTTTTTATGTTTTTTGATTCATTATTCACTTAAAAAATGTTGGCCAATGTTTTGTTTAGATAAAAATCTCTAATTATCTTCCAGATTTTTTGGTGGATTTTAAAAACTAGTATTTAAGTTATAGTTGTAAATTTTGAAGATTAATTCACTTTTCTCAGTTTGTATAGGGATTGTTAAATTTGACTCCAGTTCTAAAAAAGAAAAAACATTGTTTTATAGTTGGATCTAATAATTATCGAGCGAAATATTTTCAGATGTTTGTTAACTCTTTCAATGCTGCCATGTTTGTAGATAGTTCTACCAGTGCCAGGTTTATTTTTTAGGTATACAAAAAAGACACATTTTAATACTTCATTACTGATCTGAAACTTGAAAATGGTATTTTTGGTAGGTTTGAAGGGAATATCTTTCTTCATGTTGGAATAAAATTCCAAACCTGCACAATATAACAGTATTTATGACTAAAACAAAGGCCATTTTGTGTGACATTTATATGTCATAATATTTTGTTGTTGTAACTGCAATAAATTATATAAAAATACCAAGTTGCTTCCTGGACAAAGTTATATGTAAATTGACTTCTTTATTAGTTTATTTACAGTATTTCATAACTAGTTTATTGAATTTTTTTTCTAGCCTGTTGTTTTTTCATGCCTGTGCTTAATTTTTTGGGGGGCTCATACATGGCAATGTGGTCTTTTCATGTAATGCATTTTGCTTTCATTAATATTATAGCCATTTGTATGTGGTCGGGTATTGTGATGTTAAGTTTGATTATATGATGTTTTCTTCACTTTGTCGTCTCTTTTTTTTTTGATATAGTTGAAATATGTTATATATAAATGTTTTTTTCAATGAACACTGAGACTTAATATTATTCATCTGTTAACATATATTCTTATAAATCTCATTAAATGTGATGTGTTATTGGAATTAGTGGTGACTACATTTCAGTCTCCCTTTTTTTGCTTGTAATTATAGCTTATAAAATATGTATTACATTTTTTCTATTATACTATTCTATCAGTGCACATGAAGTGTTTGAAAAGTTTTGATGTTTTTTTTTCGTGCATTGTTATGCAACGTGATGTTTTAGGTAATTATGATGCTTATGTTTGTTTTTACCTTATTCTATTTTTGTGGAAATTGTTAATGCTATTTATCTTTTTAGATATATTTAATATAAATTATGTATTGTTTTAATTTTTGTAATATATTCTGAAATCTTAAATGGCTACTTATTTGATAATTTTATTGTTTGATGTATACTTTTTATGATTTGCTTTTTAGGCATAATATCTAATGTGTTAAAAAGGTTAATTACTGGATATCTTGTGGTAATGTAACATATTTACATCATTAGAATGTATAAATTGTTTTTTGTTTTTCTTGTTACTTGTTTTGATCTCTATTTTCACCCAGTTGTTTAACTATGAATCTAAAAATGAATATGTAACTAGTATTCTATTCATTTATTTTAATATTTGCATAACTTTGGGATTATTTTTAGTTGTGATAAATGGCCAGTTTTTAACTTTTATGTTTGCATTATTATTATTACTTAATTGTGATCTTATTACATGCAAAAAATATTTAATCCCTTTTTTATTAAATATTTTGTAAGTATTTCTAATGCTTTGATTTTCTAGCATCCTGTTCAATATTTTTTGGTCATGGAAAGGGCAGATTCATGTGCAATGCTTTTCACCTGCTATAACTATTTCTTCTGTCTGTGAAGTAATCACACACACATATATATATATATATATATATATATAGGTCCTGACCAAATATCGTTTTATTATTGTTAATACTTAGATCCACTTTTTAATCATGTTTTTACATTTCCAAGGTTTGAACCATTTTGTGCCTTATGAAATAATCACCATACATGGAGAAAAATTTGTTTCTCAAAAAAATATGATTATTTAGTACTGTTACATTGGTGTGTACTGTTTTACTTGTGAGTTTTTATTTATTACTTGTATTATAGTTGTTTCAGCTAAACTACATTCATCAAGTCTGTTTAAACCCAACCCTTATGTGGAATTGGTAGTAGATGGTGGAATTCCAGTAAGATCTGAATTTCAGAAAAATACAACTCATCCAACATGGAATGAACAATTTCCTGTGTAAGATTTGTTTATTGCATTTTGTAGACTAGACAGATGTTACTTTTACTGGAATGGAATTTGTTATGAAATGATAATATATAACATTCATATTTGCAAATATTCTCCTAGCTAAATCTTGAAAATCTGTTGCCGTCAAAGGTTGATTTATCATCTAGATAATTTTTCATTCACTTTGACTTGTTAGGAAGGGTAGGATAATGTAATCCTTTGTGCCTTATAGTTTTTTTGTAACTAAGAAAAAATTTATCTCCGGAAAAAATGGCATTTATGGTATAGAGAATTACAACTTTATATGTCAAATAATCTTAGAGAAAAGAATAGTTATAATAGTTACTCTCGGTGAAGCTTGCTCTTAATTGACAGGATTAAATTTGTGATGAATTTCTGTTTATTAGAAATACTGATCTTTCAATTTTATCTATTAGTTTAATTAAAACCTTTACAGTTCTATATAAAATGCATTTTACCAAGAGTTGCCAAGTATCCTTGACATTTAGGAGCCAGAAGTAACTCCTAAAAGCCAGGATAGTAGCTTAATCTAGTGAAGGGCATCCCCTCCTTGCCCCAGGAAAATATTTTGACTCAATTTTTAATTTTTTGCAAATTATGCATTTTAGATAGAAACAAAATATACACTGCTATGTTCAAACTTCTGAAGATATGGAAGAACAACTAACTATTTTTATAACATTTGCTGTTGCCATAAGCCTGCAACAATTTTACCAAATCAAACCTTAACTAACCTAAAGAGTTTCCAATTTTTACATTTGAGTTACTTGTATAATAACAAATAAAGAATACACATGAAAGACAAGAAGTAACGTATTTACCTGGGCCTTTATTTTTGCTGTCGACTGTTGATGACACTTAACCCAACTTTTTTATATTAAAGGTAGTAGTGCACAAAATAATTTGTATTTAATTAAATAAATGAATCAAAGAACATTGAATAATACATGCAAAAAGCAGACAACGTCCCATAACTACCACAATTTTTCTGGCTTTCTAACTATGAGACAAGAGCCATTACTAATTCATCCAAGCTAGTCGATGTGTTTCTTGTGGGAATGAAGCATATACTGCAAGAGAAATTAATATTTTTTCTCTACAGAAATGTAATATAATATGTCATTTGATAGATGAAAACCTTAGCTTTCTATTGGTTAAAAATGATACAGGATTATATGTAAGAGAGATCTATTGATAAATATTGAAAGATAGGATATGACAAGTGGGTGTGGCAAGAGTGTTCTGATTTTCTATTTGATGGCTCTGTAACCAAACAAAATTGAAGGCTACAAAAATTATGCTTTATCTGAGTGATGACAATATTATGATAAGTCGTCATCATCATCATAGACAGCAGTACGTCGATAATTCTACCGATGCTTAGCTGCCACACAATCATGAATTATTATTACAAGAAAATGGGGACAAAAGTGGGATCTAACACACCATGAATACGGAAATGGTGGAGCACATACAGGCGGGGG